AAGGGTCCTTGAGCGCGTCTTTGCCCTCTGAGGGCTTTTGGACACTAAATTCCTACATGCGACAGAACGGGACTGGATGACGTGTGCATCTGAAGTCTGGGTGGATCCTGTCACGTTGCCCCCACCCGGGTAGACCGACTCAGGGCCCTGGTCCGCGGGTGGGCGGCCCAGCCGGCCTCTCTCGGCCCATGGTGGTTGCCGACGGGAGCACATTCTCCCGCTTCTGTGGCATCGTCGTGGGTGCACTGCTTGTTTGCGTTGTTGGCTTGTGGGTTCATCTCTTTTGTTACTTACGGAAATTCAGAATATTGCCTTTTGTTTCTAGTTTTAGAAGTTTTACATTTTTATGTGGTTATATCTGTCAATCTCTGAGGATTTTTTGCTCTCTATATTTCAAGCTTTTAAACCCTTTTATTCTATTTTTGCTTTTTCTTTAAAATTCTACTCCAACAGAAATTTTCGTGTGTGCCGTGAAGAGACTCACCTTAATTTTTTTCTCAAATAGACAGTCATTTGTTATGATACTATTTAGTGACTAATTCAGCTTATTTTAGCTAATTTGAAAGTTGCTTAATCCTCTACAGTTCTTAGAACCCTGGGTCTGTTTCACTGAGTCTTAGTCCATACTAGGCCACTGTTTCACTTTCTCTCTTGCTATACCTACTTTAGCTATATATATATATATATATATATATATATATATATATATATATATGATAGGGCAAGTCTCCTCCCCAAATTCTTTCACAACTATTTTTGGTTATTCTTAGACACTGGAGGTAGGTAGGACGTCTTACTGTTGTTAGTAGGAACACTGTAATACTTCATGTTCTTAGAACACAGAGATGATGGTGGCCAGCGTGGCCGACACTGACCTAGCCCAGGGGTATGCCAGACCCTAAATGAAGAGCTTCCTGTTGAACATTCCTTATTAATTTCTCACAGTAACCCTATGAATGAGGTACTGTTTTTGTATTCATTTCACAAAGAGGAAACATCAAAGCCATTTCTCAGATAGCCCCGTAGCTGTCTTGCCTTCCTTCTGTCCGTACTGCAAACTCTACCCCTTTCCTAGGTGGCGGCTTTATGGCTAAGGAGAAACCTGTTTGGTATTTCAGGAGTCCGTGACCTTCAAGGATGTGACAGTGGATTTTACCCAGGAGGAATGGAAACAGCTGGATCCTGTCCAGAGAGATCTGTTCAGGGATGTGACACTGGAGAACTACACGCACCTGGTCGCCATAGGTGAGGGCGGCCCCTGGGCTGCTGGTCTGGGGTATGCAGCAGGAGGGGTCTCTCGGGCTTCGGTGAGTTTTGGCCTTTAATGAAGTTAGGGAACCTAAGATTCCTAAATTCTGAAAGGCTGTCAAAAGGTGTCTCCTCTCCTAGCAAGTAGAAGTACAAACGAGTTAATTTTTCTGAGTCCACATCGGTTCCCACGTTTTACCACGTCTGGGGATCTGTCACGTTGAGGCTTTATGTGCTCTTCCTCCTGTCGGACTTGTCCCGTGTAGCGCTTTCCTCCTATAATCAGGCACCTTTTCCCCCATGGGCAGGACTCCAAGTTTCCAAACCTGATGTGATTTCCCAGTTAGAGCAAGGGACGGAGCCGTGGACCGTGGAGCCTGGCATCCCAGGAGGTGCTTTCGGAGGTGAGTAACGGGCGCCTGCTGGACGGGTGTCATGGACTCTGACCATTAGCCTGACGAGAGGGTTTTCTGTCCAAAATGCAGACGGACTTGCTTCTCTTTAGCATTTCCTGTGGAGAGAGGAGAACCCATCTGGACTCTCAGGGCTTTGTCAGAACACTAACCGTCTCAACATGTACTCTGTTTGCATACTCCTCCCAGAGGCGGTCTCCTTCCTGCTCTTTTCTGAAGGCAGCCCCTTGACCTGCACTCTGGATTCCACCTTTCCCCACCTCCTTTGGGACCCTGGTCTCTTAATTCAGCCCTTACCATGTGTTCCGGCCTGCAGGCTCGATGACTAGGACCTCGCGACAGAAACAGTGCCTGACAGCCACATGCTTTTACTCTTCATCCTTTTGGCCACCATCCAGTCCTCCTTGCTTTCCCAGCCACACTCTCCCGAAAGTGAGCTCCATTCCCGCAGTCTCATTTATCACTTGTTCCTTAAGCTCTGACCCTATCCTTGAAATTGTGAATAGTTTTCCTGTAAACCATGAATTCCCAGACTGCACAGAAAGGCACTTCAAAGATCTGAGCCTGAAAAAATACACGGATCGGTCATGCTAGGTGAGGGACAGAGCTCCAGCGTCAGTGACAGGGAGTACGGGCTCTTTTTGTGGGGAGAAAAGAAAGCACTCCCATGTTCAAATTTGAGAAGTGCTGGGTCATCAAATTCTAGCAGGTTTCTTACTGAAAGGCCACTCAGATTTCTTAACTATGTAACAGGCCAGATGAACTTCCCACAGGGTTGCATAGAATGCAACCTTCTTCCTCCCCATCCCCGCCAACCGTGAAGGCTTTTCACACTGCGCCCTTTAAAATCTTCCTCTTAGAAGATGGTTTCACGGAACACAGTTTAGAAAAGTGACTTTAGAAAAATTAAGAGCTTTATTAAACCATGCTTAACTTTTGAAAAGTCATTTTATTACAAATGAAAGTTTTAAAAAACCCCGACTTGAGCAAATAGAAAGCAATTTAAAAATATTTAACTGTGTACCAAAAAATCCTAGACTTTTCACAAAACGCTTCAGTCATCACCAAAGAGAGAGATTTAGGTAAAAATCGCACTAGACACCTCACGTTGCGTGGATGACGTCGATGGTCCCGGTGATCCATTCGGTAGGCAGGACACGGTCGCTTGAAATCCTTGGCCCCGTTCCTTGGCGGACTTCTGGTTACTGGAATGGGACCCCACGATGGCGGTCCTCGTAAGCCAGCCGCTGGCCTGCGCTCCACAGCATTCTGAGTGGTTGTCACTGCTGGCTTGGCTGCTTCTATTTCTGGAAGAAAAACGCACAGCTTTACAGACACGTACGGGTACCTGGAAGTTGTAAGTGTCCCTAAAGGAAAGTGGCTGCTGGTCGCGGGCCTTGTCTGCATTCTTCTCCTTACCCTCCTCATGCCGTCGTCTCTGGGCCCGTAGAGACCCGGCCCCCACAGAATCCTGACACGCATCTTACCTCACGAGTCTACCTTGGTCTCCTCCTGCGGCCTGGCTGTGAGCCCCCCGACAGCTGCCCCACACGCAGGGGTGTGGCAGTCCTGGGGCCGAGGCCCACGGCTTTGCAGCAGTAAAGTGAGAATTCCTCTTTGCCCTAGGAATGGTGGTGTTCGGTCTGGCCTTCTGGAACGCTCCTTCATTCTTTGCCCTACGCAGATCTAAGACAGGCCGGCATGGGTAACGTCGGTCACGTGCTCGTTGCTTTCAGCGGTAACTCCAGCCACGGCCGGACGCCCTTTTCCCCTTTCACAGCCTCAGACCCATGGTTTCCGTATTCCTCACTGTGAACTCCTTGGAGAAGGTATTTTTTATGGCCAGCTGCTGTACAAATAGGTCTTTCTTGGTGGTTCTGCTAGTGAAACATACCCATTCCTTGTACTGCACAACTGGCCATTCCCCCAAACTCTGCGGGTCTGCGCTGAAAGGGTCCAGCTGTTTCGGGTCGGCCTGGGCTTCCAGATGCCCTGCCTGTAGCCAGGGCACACGGGGCGGAGGGGGTGGGGGGCTGTCCTGTGTCTCTGCCTCACGGCACACCCTTGCAGTGACGATGGTGGTGACTGTGGTCCTCTCCTGTCACCAGTGGAACCAAAGAAACGTGTTATTACACAGCTCCATTTCCGTACTCTGAATCTGCTAGCACTGATTCCCCTGCTGCTTCAGTTTTCCTCTCCCTGGTCTTAAGCAACATTCCGCCTCCTGGTTATGTATCTGTCTGTTGTTTGTGTGCAGAAAAACTGCTATCATTAGTCCGTTTTAGTCCGCGTGTTACCCTATCTTCAAGGGACTTTGCCTGCTCTGTTCTTTTCTCACAGACTTTCCTGTTGCTTTTCCTATTCTTTTGGTGCTGTTCGTGCTGATCCTCCATGTATCTGAACATCTGGGTGGTTCTACTTCTGGCATCTTCCGCCCCCACAAACACTATAGTCTGGTCCCTTGGTTCTCTTCCCAATTCTCTGAATGCCTAGAGTTGAACTTGTCTTCCTCCCTTGAAGTCCTCTGCGCCGCTCCCATTCCCTGCAGAGATGCAGCCGTTGGCTCAGGTTCGCAGCTGACAGCAGGGCCTAGCGGGCCAGGTCTTCCCCAGTTGTCCTCACTTGAAATCTTCCTTCACAGACTTTTGTTTGCTGCTCATTGGCAATCAGTCCCAGCTCAGACTTGCTTTAGTCTGATGGGGTCTCCTCTCACCATCACTCATCTCTGTGGTCAGTTTCTAATTTACTGTTACCTTCTGGTTCTTCGAAATTACCTATGAAACTGAGTGTGAGACATTCCCTTGCCACTTTCATATTTTATTTATCGTTATCCTTTGCTCTTTCCAGCTTTTCCCCTAATGGCTATACCAGGACATCCTTCAGATTTCCTAAGGGCTTCAGTTTTAGCTTCATGAGGTCCTTCCCACAACAGCAATGATTTTTCCCCTTCAATGTAGAGATTATAGACATTTTCTTTCTCTTTCAGACTGTGAGACAAGACCAGAAAAGAGAAGATCAGCCCCAGAGCCAAATATCTCTGAAGAACAGCCATCTCAGGAGGCAGTCGTGGAGAAGCAGCGAAGGGATGATCCCAGTAGTTCTAACTTTTTGGAGAGTTGGGAGTATGAAAGCAGTGTAGGGAAGCACCAGGCAAGCCGACAGACGCCGGCAGGAGAACGGAAAGTCACTGAAAAGACAACGCCCGCCTGGGAGAGAGGCCCTGTGACGAACGACTTTACAAAAAGCATCAGTGTGAGTTCAAGCCTTGTAACACGAGAAAAAGCGTCAGAAGAGACCTCGACTAAAACGAGTGCCAAACAGAATGCAAACCCAGTTAAGAAAGAGAAATCGTGTAAGTGCAACGAATGCGGGAAAGCTTTTAGTTACTGTTCGGCTCTTATTCGCCATCAGAGAACACATACAGGCGAAAAGCCCTACAAATGTAACGAATGTGAGAAAGCCTTCAGCCGGAGTGAGAACCTTATAAACCACCAAAGGATTCACACTGGAGATAAACCGTATAAATGCGATCAGTGCGGAAAAGGCTTCATTGAGGGCCCGTCTCTTACTCAACATCAGAGAATTCACACTGGAGAGAAACCCTATAAATGTGACGAATGTGGGAAAGCCTTTAGTCAGAGGACCCACCTGGTGCAGCACCAGAGAATTCACACCGGGGAGAAACCATACACTTGCAATGAGTGTGGAAAAGCCTTTAGCCAGAGGGGCCACTTCATGGAACATCAGAAAATTCACACCGGAGAGAAACCCTTTAAGTGTGATGAATGTGACAAAACCTTTACCCGGAGCACACACCTTACTCAGCACCAGAAGATCCACACGGGCGAGAAAACCTACAAATGCAACGAGTGCGGGAAGGCGTTCAACGGGCCGTCGACGTTCATCCGCCACCACATGATCCACACCGGGGAGAAGCCGTACGAGTGCAACGAGTGCGGGAAGGCCTTCAGCCAGCACTCGAACCTCACGCAGCACCAGAAGACGCACACGGGGGAGAAGCCGTACGACTGCGCCGAGTGCGGGAAGTCCTTCAGCTACTGGTCGTCCCTGGCGCAGCACCTGAAGATCCACACGGGGGAGAAGCCGTACAAGTGCGCCGAGTGCGGCAAGGCCTTCAGCTACTGCTCGTCGCTCACGCAGCACCGGCGGATCCACACCCGGGAGAAGCCCTTCGCTTGCGGTGAGTGCGGGAAGGCCTTCAGCTACCTGTCCAACCTCAACCAGCACCAGAAGACCCACACGCAGGAGAAGGCGTACGAGTGCAAGGAGTGCGGCAAGGCCTTCATCCGCAGCTCGTCGCTGGCCAAGCACGAGCGGATCCACACCGGCGAGAAGCCCTACCAGTGTCACGAGTGCGGCAAGACCTTCAGCTACGGCTCGTCGCTCATCCAGCACCGGAAGATCCACACGGGGGAGCGGCCGTACAAGTGCGGCGAGTGCGGGCGTGCCTTCAACCAGAACATCCACCTGACCCAGCACCAGCGCATCCACACGGGCGCCAAGCCCTACGCGTGCGCCGCGTGCGGCAAGGCCTTCCGCCACTGCTCATCGCTGGCGCAGCACCAGAAGACACACGCGGAGGAGAAGCCCCACCAGTGCGGCCAGTGCGACAAGGCCTTCAGCCAGAGCTCCCACCTGGCGCAGCACCGGCGCGTCCACACCGGCGAGAAGCCCCACCAGTGCGGCGAGCGCGACAAGGCCTTCAGCCGCGGCGCGCACCCGACCGAGCACCAGACCGCGCACGCGGCCCAGAAGCCCTGCGACGGCCGCGAGTGCCGCAAGGCCCTCAGCCAGCGCCCGCGCGCGCGCTCCGGGGACAGACCTTTTGGCTGCGGCGACTGCGGAAAAGCCTTCCGGTATCGCTCGGCCCTCAGCAAGCACCAGAGGCTGCACCCGGGCATCTGATGCGAGCCGGTCCGCTCGGTCCCCGGCCGCGTCCCCAAGGAGTGGAGCGACGGGAGAAATGGGGTGGGCCCTGCGGCCTCTCCTCCATGTGCTGGGGCGTGGACAGGACATGGGCTGGGGCGACCGGCTGTGACATCTGGCAGCTCGGGGACACTGCAGAATGGCACCGTTTGACGCTTCGGTTTGCTCTGTGAATGAGGGAGTTGGATAGAGGGTTTCAGGGGCTGTTCGGAGTTTTCTATCCCAATTTTGTATATTCACAATCTCTTTGTGATTAGGATTACTCTGCGTCAGCGCTGGGCTGTGTCGCCGCTAGAGTGTGTCTGTCTCTGCATGTTTGGCTAATAGAAAGCATTTGTGCTTCAGCAACTAGACGGGGACCTGTGAGGCTCCTGTTCTCATGCATTAAGTTGATTAAGTAACTGGTTCCTAATAAAAAGAATTATAAAGCATTCTTAAGTAATTCAGAATGTATACTGGCTCACCTCGGGGTGAGGATTAAACCTTCCCATTCCGATTTCTTGGAGTATGCCTTACCATCTTAGGAGTCGGTCACCACCACGGAGACGGGCTGCAGCTAAACCAGCGCTACTTACCCCTCCCTGAACAGTGGACTCGCTGCAGGGCCATTAGGAAATTTTGCCAAGGCCCCAGCCTTGGAGAGGGACCTTGGGAAGGACCAGGATTCGGTGTCTTTTATAAACTCGTAATGTGCAGCCCAGAAGGAACTGGAGCAGATCCCCCACTCCTGCAGTCGGTAGCCTCCTGTGGGCCCTCCCAGAAGCCGCCCATCATTTGCACACACAATTTCGACTGTCACCCTGTTCTATTAAGTTGGGTTCTCACATGCTCTGGGAGGTAAGGTTAATTTATTTCCCTCACCAGAGTGCAGAAATTAAACAGCTGCGTAAAGGTCATTTTGTCGGCTTTTCCTTGGCCCCAGATACCAAGGGCAGACGGCAGTGCTAATGACGTCCGTGGCCGTGGGCAGCTGCCGGCCTGCGCGGCCACCCGAGGCAGACCCGGTCAGGATAACATGTGAGCCGAGCTCCAGGGCAGCACTGGAAGAGACAGGCCCGTTTGATTTCCTCCAGATCTAGTCTGATTACCGGGCAGCTCTCTTCAGGGCAACTGAGGATTTTCCAGCCTGGCCTTGAGGGTAGCACAGAAAAGCTCTAGACTCTTCTTTGGGCGAGGTTTGGGGGGAGTGGGCACTACAGATTCTCACAAGTGGAAAAAAAAAAAAATCCATGCAGTCTTTACATAAATGCCAATGACCTACCCTGGAATCCTGTCCCCTCCTTAAGTGGAGGTGCCTGACAGTGAAAAACAGATCGAATTCAGGAAATAATGTAGCCATTTTAAATCTCAGGACCTTTTTCTGTTGTAACTTGAAACATCTATAAAAGAATGTCATCTTGATATTTCTTAATTTCTCAAGGCTTTCATTATGTAGGAATTCCAGTCCTCCCAGCGCAGAGGTGGAAACGAGCAGGATACAGGGTATGCTTGGGGTGCGATCGGAACTGCCCCCCCCCGCGCCACGGGACAAGGAAATGAAAGTTCGGTACCTGCATGAAGGGTCCTCTCGTGTCAAAGGAGATCTGAGAATGGAACACACCAGAGTCGGTCTGTAATGGGAAGACTCCTGTCCTGGGGCCACCAATTCCTAAATGGAAGAGAACTGATGAGATAATGTGTCACTCACCCGGAAAGGTCCCACTTTGTTCCGTTCTCCACAGATGCCATCAGATCCAGATCCCGAGCCCCCAGAGCGGCGATCGCTGCCGGACTGCGTTCCTCTTTTCTGCCTCCCCTCTGCCTGCCTGTCCCCCATCCACCCAGATCCCTCCCAGGTCATACCAGCCTGCAGAGGGGAGAAGGAGGGGGCCTCCAGAAGTTAACAGGACCTAAGTTGCCGTATCTTTCTGAATAGCTCGAAAAGTCCTACTAGTTTGTCCCAGGACACAATGCCACGCTCCCCAAGGGGCAGTTTGCAACTCCTGCTCCTGCTCTGACACAGCCACCAAATCTGCCACAGTCGTGAGTGAAGGTGTTCATCACCTGACTTGTCCCCTCGCCACACGTTCCTCCCCACCCCCCGGACCCCGATTTTAAGAGCTGAGAGAGGAAGTTCCTTTAAGTGCTTCCTTGGTCCTTTTTTCTTAATTTAGTCACTCACATGCCACAAACACCTGTAACGTAACTGTGGAGAATAACATGCTCTCTCCTACTCCTACGGGGTCCTACTAGGCAGCAGAGTGACCTAAACCTAAAGGGGAGAACTGGAAGTTAGAGAAGTTCAGCCTTTTCTCTGAACTTGGAATCAGCCCAGAAAACTGGGAGTTCAGTGTACGTGAGAGGCGGACCATCACCGAGAAGCGCCCGGGCATCCAAAGCTCAAAGAAATAACTCACGAGCCCAGACAATACTTTAAGAGAAATTCTCTGCCACTCACAAGAAATCCTATGGCTTCATACATAGTTTCTTCCCGTCCATGTGCTTTAATAAAACCACCTTTCTGCACCAAGGACGTCTCAAGAATTCTTCTCTGGCCGTCGGCCTCGCGCCCTAACAGCCTCCCTCCGCTCTCCGCCCGGGCGGCGGGAAGCAAGCCGCAGCCGTCCGGGCAAAGACGACCGGAGAGGGAGCAGGGTCACAGCTGGGGTGGGGAACCTGAATTTGGTTTTGGAACTTGTGAAACATGGGAAAACCCCACAAAATGCAAGTGGACAAAGAACACATCTGTCCGGTGTCAGGACAAGACAGAAGAGCGTCCTCGGCCTCCCAGCACCCCTACTCCGTCCCCTTCCAACCACAGCTGTCGTCCCCGCCCCGGGACCACCACCCCGCTAATACCGGAGACTGGTTTCACCTGTGCTGGACCTCTGCCCACACGACAGGCTTGTGTGACCAGCTTTTTAGACTCAGACTGCGTGTGCAGGGCTCGTCCACGCCGTCGCAAGGAGCCGTGACTGTCGCACAATTTATCCGTTCTACTACGGGTGTACCGTCTGGGTCGTTCCCTCTTCGAGGCAGCTGGGACTAGCGCCACCGCGGGCAGCCCTGCCGTCTCGTGTCACCTCGCACCCGCCTGCGTCGCGTACACCGGGATGAAGTTAGGGTGTCGGGTACGCGGGGAAGACGCGCGCTCGACTTCACTGCTGCTCCCTGACCACCACCGCCCGGACTGGAGGCTTTCCCCGGCTCCGTGTCTTTGCCAACATTTTAGTGGGTTTTTACTTCGCTCTCTGGGCCGAGGCCTGCTCCAGTACCTCGGACACGCGGGGCAGAGGTCCCGTGTGTGCAGGACGTGCAAGCCTGGGGGAGGCGGCCGGGAAGTCCGCCCTGCGGCTTTACAACCCACTGAGGCATCCGAGGGTGTGGCTGTGGCCGGGTGAGAGATGAGGAAGAGTTCCAAGGACTGAGCCCTCAGAAAGTGCCACTGGCAGAAATCGGAGGAGGGGATCCCCGCGGGAGGCAGGGGCCTGGGAGGCGGGGACATGAGCGATTGAAGAACGAGAAGATGACCGACCCTGACTCCTGAGAGGCCTCACCGCATGAAGGCTGAGCCCTGCCCTTCAGATCTGGCAGGGACAAGACCAGGGTCACCCTGAAGAGCAGCCCTGGGGGACTGCGGACCCGAAACCTGACGGGAGGGCGTGAATGTGAGACTAGGAGGAAACAAGGGCAGGAGGCAAGTTTGGGCACTTGGGTCTCGCGAGAATGAGAAAAAATTGGGGTAGTTGCCACAAGAGGATGATGAATGGATGACTTTTTTTTTTTTTTTTTTTTTTAGATTTTATTTGGCAGAGACAGACGCAGCGAGAGAGGGAACACAGCAGAGGGAGCAGGAGAGGGAGAAGCATGAGCAGGGAGCCCACGCGGGGCGCAATCCCAGGACCCCGAGATCCGACCCGAGCCGCAGGCAGCCGCCTCCCCGACGGACCGAGCTGCTGACTCCAGCGGGAGCTGGGCCAGTGTCCCTCGCTCTGCAGCCTGGCCACGGAGAGGGAAACACCGCCCAGCCAGAGGGCTGGGAAGACACAGGGACGTCTGGAGCGGAGGGGACGCAGGAGCTCTGGGCCCACGAGGGCGGGACAGGCAGTAGCGCGGGTTCACGGGGGGAGGAAAGACGTGGAAGTTCCCCTTCCACTGCTGCTGTTTATTCGCGGAAACAGGTCGCGAGCGGAGGTGGAGGAGCGGGGGACGCGCTGTCAGAGGCTGCGTGAGAGGACACACGGGACAGAACAGGGACCTCTGACAGCAGGGGGCGGGGGTGGTGACGATGGGAAGGCGACAGGCCCTTCAAAGTATCGGCGGAGGATTTCCGAGGAGACTCATCACTGCGCTTCCTCTGGGGATGTTCCGCTGCACGGGGAAAGGGATGGGATAAGCTGAAAACTAGGTTTATCCGGGATTTTTCTAGGAGACTGTGACCCAAGAGAGGGTGGAGAGAGCAAAGCTGCGTGGAAGCGACGGAGGACAGTGATGAGCTGTGGCATTTACGCGGGGAGCGGAGGGACGCAAGCAAATCCACGGGTCTCGCTGTTTCAGGTTCTGCTGAGGTTGAAAACAAATTCTAGCGCCCGAGGGAGGAAGTAGAAAAGGCGGGAAGATGGTCAGCAAGCAGGCTGCTCACAGCGGAGGTCGTGAGGCCGGCGCGGTGCCTGCGGGGACAGATGGCTGGCTGCGGAGGAAGAGAAGCAGACGGTGGAGGAAAGGACGCGGGGACTCGGGCTGGGCAGTTAGGGGACCGACTACTTGAGTATTAAAATCACCACGAACACTGGCCTATGGCAGCAAGGGAAGAGTGAGCCGGGGGCTCTGATCTCCAGGGGGCGAGGGGTGACTTGGGATCAACAGACGACTTCAAGAAGGGGTGGTGGGTGGTCTAGCTTGATGGCCGATGTCTTACCAGGGCCGGGGGCTCGAGGGGGGAGGCGGAAACAGTGCCCTAAAAGTGGCGATGAGGGGCGGGGACACCCACCTCTCCTCCAGGCCCAGTTAAGTCAGAGATGCGCGAGGGAGGAAGAGCTGGAAGGCGGAGGGGATATTGTAAATGAAGTGTCGGAATGACCTGAAGACTTGGCATTCTCCTGCGAATCCTCTCACTGTGACAAATGCATATAAGACAGTGACTGGTGATCTGGGAACACTTGAATCAAGACCAAGCAGGGACCACATGAGGGAGGAAGGAGAAAGGTCGTCGGAGTGGGCACCCGCCCCCCGCCCACCACGTCAGAGGGGGTTACTCAGTTCTTGTCTATAACTCAGTAACTGGTGGAAAGTCAAGTAGGGCAAATACAGGTGAGGAGAGGAGTCAGTATTCATCACAATGATCCTATTTTTGGAGGGAAAGTACCCATGGGCCAAGTCCCTAGGTCAATCAGAGCCTCCAGGCTGGAGAGAACTGGAAGTGTAACTGGGACGGGCCCTAGGAAGGAAACAAAGGGACACGGGGCCCCTGAAGGAAGGG